TGTTGAAAGCAAGCCCACGGCCCCTATATTGCGGCAACGGAAGTCAAATGGTGGATCCTGGATTCTGTGTACTAGGTGACTGGGAACTAGACTTTGTCTTTAACAACAATTGTGTTGACTACCAGCAATAAGGGAAATCTTCTGCACATTGTATGCAGTTTCGGTACCAAACCACAGGTTTCACATACTGCTTAGAAGACGTTTGGAAAGCTACCAATAGGATTTCTCCCCATTTTTCTTCCCACCTGAAATCAGCCATGTTGAGTTTGCCTTGGGCTGCAGGTATGCGTTTTATCTGATAGGAAATGCTATCCTCCACTGACTATGGACTGGGCCTACAGTATGGGTCGCCCGTAATCGGCTGATGTTCAGATGCAGTCTGACTTACAGAAGACTTCCAGCCAGTGAGGGTGGATCCTGGATTCTGTGTACTAGGTGACTGGGAACTAGACTTTGTCTTTAACAACAATTGTGTTGACTACCAGCAATAAGGGGAATCTTCTGCACATTGTGTGCAGTTTTGGAACCAAACCACGGGGTTCACGTACTGCTTAGAAGACGTTTGGAAAGCTACCAACAGGACAGTGTATAGATTTCTGCCCATTTTTATTCCCATCTGAAATCAGCCATGTTGAGTTTGGCTTGGCCTCCAGGGAAGTTTTTTATCTGATAGGAAATTCTGTCCACCACCGACTATGGACTGGGCCTACAGCATGGGTCGCCCATAATCTGCTGTCAGTCAGATCCCGTCTGACTAGACTTACAGAAGATTTCCAGCCAGTGAGGCTCACTGATGTTGGAAGAGAAGCTGTTGTTCCCATAGCACGTATAGTTGGCCGCATCATCCCTGGTGGTGGGGTTCAGCGTCAGCGTGTTGTTCTCCAGAAAGACACTTTCTGTTGCTTGGATGGACTGGTTTCCCTTAAGCCAGTAGTAAGACACATCGGTGCCTTCAGAATGGCAGGTCAAAGTGACCTCCTGGTTTTCTTCCACATAAAATGGGCCAGTGATGGTGACATTATATACATTACCTGCAAGAACAGAAAATTGGGGAAGAAGCTCCATATTTCTTCTCATGCTATTCCACCAGTACCACCATCCCCAGATTTAAGCCTTTTTAGTGTCTATCAAGGAGTACAGATACTAAGAGAAACAGGAATAATAAAATTGATCAAAGGATAAAGAGATGGGGTGAAAAATATCCTGCACCACATAGATCAGATGTATAAACCACCAATGGCTGATAGAATGATAATTGGTAGATGATAATGACTTCAGATATGCAACATGCTTTATGGAAGAATGGAACCTGACGTAGGAAGCTCAGAAGGTTCTCAAATGCTTCCACTCAATGCTGACTGCAGTGAATGCAGCAGGGCTAAGTCAGTGATAATATCTCTTTGTATTCATGTGTAGAATATAAAGAAAGATCCAACTTTTTAAAAAAATACTAGAACAAGAGAGGCAAAAAATGGAGTATAGTGACCTTTTTATGATTAAAATATGTATTTTACGATAAGCTGCTATGGATTACCATTTTTTAACTTGTTCTTTCCTGGATAGAGCATTGCACAGTTTAAAACGAGAGACATATATAAAATATAAATAAAATTCAAACAAATTAAAATGACAAAGTGGCAAAGAGAGTGGATTAAGCAACTTAATTCCTTGAACAAAATATGTTGTATGAACTATCAAGTTCTAAAATCTTTCTGTGACCAGTTGGTACAGAAGCTGTGTTCACGTTGTGATCTGTCTTTCCTGATTATTGAGGCCTAAATTTTATGAAACTCACCCACCTGCTTGTATATGGGAATTTATTCAACACGGACATTTGGAGAATCTCCACCTATTTCTTTCTAGAGGTGCTCCTCCGTGATCCCAATTTAAACTGCCCTTCCTATGTATCTTTTTTAAAGCATCATTCATGAACCGTACCGGAATAAATGGAAGCACCATCCCCTGTACGGTGTGTAACTCATTTTTTTAAAAAAATTCTAGGCAAAAGTAGCATGTATGTATGAAAGACAATTGGGGATCGGCAAGGGAGATGAATGAAAATAAAACTTCTCAAGAATGGATGGACTCTCAGAGGAAAAAAAAAGACAGGAAAAGTAAAGGCCAATCAGGATGAAACTGAATCAGCTACTCAAAGAAAGTTCAGTGGAATCACGACATGACAGATGATGAGTCAATCTCGGGAGATACAAGTCATGAATGTAAACAGAAGATGTGAGCCACCAAACGTGACAGGAGGGCACAATCAGTAGACAGGGTAGCTAGAGAAGTATCAGACAGATCACGTGGCTGAAGCTGTGGCAACAGACAGCCACTTTCCGGCTACTCACCCAGCACCTGAATCTCCAAGGAGGCATTTGCCATCTTGTGAGTAAGTACGTGTGTTGCTTGACAGGTATAATTCCCAGACTCCTGCCAAGTAACATCTCGGATAAGCAGATCACTTCCACTGCTATGGCTTCTCCCGTTGAGAAACCACATATATGTTGGGTCAGGAAAGGCGTTCGCTTTGCAGGAGAGCCTGATGTCTGAGTGTTCGTAATAAATGTTCGTTTTTGGCTCAATTACAGGCTCATCGGGTCCAACTACGGCAAACACATGAAACTAATATGTTGGAATTCAAATGCAAATGGAGGAATTCCCCCACCCCCTGAATTCCCTTTAAAGAAGGAAAGATTCCTCCACCAGAATGAGCTCAAGTGAGAAGGACAGTGTAGGGTTTTTTTTTAAAAAAAGAAAGCAGGGTTTCTGTAACACTGTGTCCTGAAGAAAGATGACACAAAACAGATTTATGAAAGAGAATATCATGAAGATTTTTATGAACACACATGCTCTCTATTTGCTGTTTCCTAGTCCAGCCACCTAGGGACTCATGCATCAAATACTTGGTAGATATTATAGCCTGGTGTATCTGCAAATATATATGTCACTTTCCTATGACTAGTTGCAAGCTTCTAGCTTTCATCCTTGTCATTACCTTTCCCTTCTTGGTGGAATGATGGGAGGGAGGAAGAATTTGATGGAAAGGTATTGGAAATCATGACTGGGTTCCCACGGCAGGATAGGAATGGCCCAAATCCCTGTCTCGAATTATGTAGAATAAATGTATATGTCCAAAGGTTCCCCGGAAATTATACCAAGAAATTGCACCACTCTATGGTGTTGCACAACTAATTATGCAATCCAGCCGTGCAAAAAGTTTCGCACCACCACCCATAGAACTTTTCACTGGATACTGTTTCCACAGTTTTGTGGATTTCAATGTCATTTATGCGAGTCTGAGTCACACCAGCGCAGCTACGCGACAGGATTCAGGCCAGTGCCTAAAACCCTTTCAAAATTCCATGAATGGAGGCAGCATAATTGCTTCCTCAAAGGCTTTGCTGGTGTGCCCCGTCCAGTCGATTTCTGTGCAGCCCCTGTGAACCAGATGTTCCTAGCTCTTTGAACTGCCAACTCTTTTTTTCTTCCCTTTTAAAAAAGCAAAGGAACATTATGAGCTCCTCCGATTTCAGTGTATTCTGATTTATCGTCCTGTGAATTTTTGAGAGTTGATTCCTGGCACTCGGATTTAATTGGAATCAGGGCTCGGCCCTAGCTGAGAATTTTTATTTATTGCTAAGGCACATGAATTGGACACACGAAGTGGGCAGTCCATCATTTCGTACAAACAGCATGTGTCAAAAGAAAGACAGGCTGCTGATTCTCGCCCTTTGCCAAACAGAGAATAGACCTGTGTCGAAAATGTATAACGTAGAAGGACTTTGGACATGGGATGCAATCATTGCCGGATAGTGTAGCAAAATATCAGAAACTCTCTTTCTGAATTCCATTTCCAGCTAGTATGGAAACCATAACCCAGCGCTCTAGTTTGGGGAAGCAATCAAGTCCTTATTGGCAACAGAGATCCAGGGCCTCAAGCAAATGCTACTCCCAGCCTTTCAGATTAGGATGTCAGAGATAAAATTTATAATCCTTGGCATGCAAAACATCTACTCCAGCCCTTCCTAGAAACACATACCAGTCAGAACACAGATGATGGGGCAGAACATGTGTGCAGTTCCAGAAGGTACGGGCGAATGTTGGAATTGAGAAAGTCAACTCCAAAAACCCCTCTTGGATCTGAACTAATGAATGTGGATTTGTTTGCCACGATCCATGCTGTAATGACCTTCTGGTTAGGCTACTTAATGTGCTGTACATGGGGCTGCCTCTTGAAAACGTTCAGCAGCTACAACGAGTGCAGAATATGATGGCCATGCTGTTGTCTGGTGTACACATCAGAGACCTTGTATCGCTGCCTGTCCTCAAACAAAGATGATGGCTTCCGATTTGTTTCTGAAGCAGATTCAAGGATCTGGTTGCAGCCTATAAAACACTAAGTGGCTCGGTTGGGGCAAATATATCTATAAGGCCACTTTGATGTGAGCTTGCTCAGAATTTGAGATCTTCCACAGAGGCCCCGTTTCATGTCTCACCACTCCAGAAACCCCTAACGGAGAAACCGAGAGGCACAGTTTTTTTCCGTCTCAGTTGTGAAACTCTGAAGAGAAGTCTGGTTTTCATAATTATTTTTAATCTGTTTAACATTTCCTGGTGGAATCTTTTACATCTGTTTCAAAGAAGGCTTTCCTATCCTTCGCTGCACATCGATTTGGGGGGCTCTGGAGGGCAAAAGACAGCTCCAGAACCATTTGATAAATACTTTAAATAAACAAACAGCGTTAGACAGAAAAGGTAGGAGAGAAATCACTGGAGGATCTGCAAGTAGCACCAGGATTTAATCAGTCGTGGACCAGAATTTCTGCTTCTTGTCAGAAAGGAAGTCAGGACTTGTCTTAGAGGAAGTGGGGAATAAACTTGTGCGAACAATATTTTCTTTTAAAAAACACAGTTCTGTTGTCCTTGCGGTCACTACTTCCAGACCACTGTTATGTCTGTCTCCAGAGGAACCTGCCTTGAATTTTAGGTGATGCAATAAAAATGCCACCATATTGGACCTATTCTTATGCTCCGGGCACATCCAGTCATTGATGAAAGAACCTACAGGATAGGAATGGGCACACACCCAGATGCCACCACAATTTTCCTCTGGGAAGCATTGCCGGGAATGGCATAGGATGGACACCCATCAGGGATGAGTGAATTGGTTTGGCTGCCCTTGTTGTTATCCAGTCAAAACCGACCTATAACAACCTTGACAGGACTTTCAAGAGAAGTATGGTATTTAACCACTGTCCATGGTTGGGCAGGGTCATCGAAGTGACCAACATGAATTGGACCCAACTCCGGGAGGCAGTGGAAGAAAGGAGGGCCTGTCGTGCTCTGGTCCATGGGGTCACGAAGAGTCAGCCAGGACTTAACGACTAAACAACAACAATGGTATTTAAGGAGTGGTATTCACTCCTTCAGTGAGTTTGTTTTCCAGAGTCCTAGCCCATCACTCTATCCTCCACACTACACTGGGTAAACTTGGTTGCCCTTAGCAAACCTTAATTTTGGTTCTCCGGCATTTTTGTACTATTGGGGTGGAAGGGTGGTTTTATTTGATTTGATTTCTGTCTTCCTTTCAATTATTTAGTTGATCTCCCAAGGTGGCTCACGTATAAGAAGACTAAACAAGACAGCACACAGCAAAAAGATGGTTGTGAAAAACTGTCTTTCTGACTGAAACTTTCATTCTGCTCCCTGATACTGTATTAAATAAAGAAGTGGCTCCGATGAGATTATTTTGTCCTAAAGATCTCAGGGAACCGCAGGGTTCCTGTCTTCTTCAATTTATCTAGATCCTTTCAAATTCTGTTGCTGTATTATTAACAAATAGACTGGGATATTCTGGCCATGTGTATCATTTCTGTGGATTATTTACAGCTCAGGACCGTGACCAACAGAAACACAAGAAGGGCCAGGGTTCATTCTAACTTTTCTGAAAGTAAACCTGCAGGACCAGACCACTTTGCTTTAAAAATAGGCTCACCCAGATTTTTGTGGGTCTTTTTTAAAGGATAAATTTGAAATCAGTCCTCTCTCTCTCTCTCTCTGTATGTGTCTGTTTTCAACGGTCATGGGAAAGCTGCTGAAACCTATAAAGAGAAGCATCTAATATACCTTCCCAGAAAACAAATAAAGAGAATTTCCTCTTTTGGAAATATGAGGGACAATAATCTTACTTTGCACGTCACAGTCAGTAAAATTGAATTTGCTCTTTGGGTAACAAAGAGCTATAATGACTGTTAGGCACCACAGACCTGTTTTTCCAGCTCTGTATTGAATGATTAAAATAATTATAATGGCGAGATCAGGTACCAAGACTATACTATGGCCACAATTAGGCCTTTAATGTCTCCCTCATTTTGCTTCATAGCTACAAAATGATTTTCCCATGCAATTGGCAAAGTAAAAGAGGGGTGTGGCCCAGATTATTTGTGCATCCATTTTCCAAAAAATTAAAGTGGAAACTGTCAGAGATTAGAGTTTTTTGCCAGGGTGAAAGAGTGATTGTATAGCTACTGTGTGGTAGATCAATGATTCATAAAGAGAGGAGGGGTGTGAAGAAATTCAAAGGAGTATGAGATTACCCCAAATTTTAAATCAGGTTGAACACTTTAATTTTCAAGTTGGACATCCTGGCTTTTTTTAAAGTACTATTTTTGGTGGTTATTTGGAATTTTGAATTATGATTTATTTATGAATCTTGAATTATAATTCCAAAAAGAAGCGGGATAATGCTAAAGGAGAGGAAGCCTAGCACGAAGGCTTCTCAAAAGTCACACATGGGGAGTGGAGTGTTTAGATGTCTGGGGAATCATTTGGGACCTGCAAGGATCCATAGCTTCCTGATCAATCTCAGCTAAACTTCCAGCCCTGCCATACTCTTGAGGAAGTCAACTGTGCCTCGCCAGCTTTTACCAGAGCAGACCTGCAGTTACAAACGGCTGCCGTCTCATTTCATGCCGGCTGCCCTTTCACCAAGGGAGCAACAGTTCGCAGTGACGGCAAACCATGCGTGATGCTGGCAAGCAAAACAGTTGCCGAGTTAATGAGAAATGGAGGAGGAAGAGGAAAAACAGAACTTCTAACAGAAACTCCTGCTCAAGCTTTGCCCTGGCACAACACTACACCTAAGCTCTTTCCACCCACCCCCCTCAGATTTCACATTATTTTTGTAAGCCCAGCGAGACAAGTCCCTCTAGGTCTTGCCACCTCTCCCCAAAAAACTGCTAAAGCCATCTTGTTCTGAGGCTGTTTTGGGGCCTGGAGTCAACCTGAACTGAGAAGAAGGGAGTGGGAAAAGACGTTTCAATGGGGTTTTAAATTACAGGAAATAGGAGCAATTTAATTCTCCTTCCGACTTCTTGGTCTGGCCATGGACAGTTATATTGTCAGCATCTTCTGAGGAGATATTTAACCCCATCTTTCCTAATTTTCTGAGGGAAATAGGATACAAATGATTTACCTGGAAAGGTCACATTTTAATTTAAAATTATGTACTGGATGGATGGATGGATGGATGGATGGATGGTGTGCTGCCAAGTCAATTTCGACTCATGGCAACCTTTTCCAGGGTTTCTGTGTAGAGAATACACAGATGTGCTTTACTGTTCCCCTTTTCTGGGGCCATCTTGGGACTGTGCAGCTTGCCCATGGCTAAACAGGCTGGCTCTTCTCCCAAGAGGCACTGTGGGGAATCAAACTCCCAACTAGATAGGCAGCCACTGAGCTATCCAGCCAGCTAGTTAAAATAAGCTTTCAAAATAAAGGCAAAATCAAAATGAGCTGAAGAGTAGTGTAGTGGATAGAGTGTCAGACAAGTATTACTCTCCTGGATTAATTCCAAGTATGGGCCACCGTTTCTCAGTAGAGCATGTGCTTTTGCATTCAAGGGGTAGTTCCATTCTAGCAAGAAGCAAGATTCTACCTCCAACCCTAAAATACTGTTACTAGTGACAGGGGTGACTAGAGATTCCAGTTTCGAGGAAGCTGTGAATCCACTGTGGGTTTTAGTCTGCACTTAATAGGTGTGGCCCAAAGTTCTGACGCCTAGCTTTCAAACCAGTTCAGCACCACGGACAGCGCAGATTAAAAGTCCGAGTGGCCCCATAATGCCCTCGAGATGGTGTCACCACTATCTGTCACTGACCAGTGAGATTTCACAACACTGAGCTACACAGACAAGCAATTTGACCTAATATAAGTCAATTTACTTTGTATTTCACAACACTGAGCTACACAGACAAGCTAATATAAGTCAATTTACTTTGCCTCCCAGTAGGTGACCAGTTGAATCGGAGGGGGGCTGGAAATGTTTTCAAGGAAGGAACCGGAGGCTCCTTGCATCAGTAACACTATAAACAATGTTATCCATCAGCAAAGATAAACTCCCACAAATTAGGACTATGAAACATTTGCTTCTCTGTTTTTTCTTAAACTTCCCCTCAGCCCTGTGCAGCATGCCTAATGGAAAACTATTTTTGGAGTTGCATGCCAATCTTCTGAAGGGCCCAAAGGACACATTGCTCTGGACTACAGCCTGGGCGTTGGCTGCAACAACAGGATACGGTACTTTAGCCAGGATGATCAATCTCGCTAAAGGATGTTATTTTACTTCATCATCAAACGGATCTGTATTTGCATGGCAGGAAGGCAAAGAGCAATCCGGATGTTCTTCTGCAGGGGCTGCACAGATAGACAAACAGACATTTGCGGACAGACGGGCTCCATAGAGAGGTGCAATGGGGGGGGATCAGCCATGCACTTCTGAACTAAGTGGTGCATATTCATATGAGAAGCCCTAAAGCAGCAGCTCACCCTCCAACTTAAGAAGACTCTTCTCTCCATCTTCTGACTCTCTAACTAGGTATTGTTAGAACTTAAAAGTAACTTATTACAAGTAATGAGTTACTTAAATTAGTTACTATTCATAAAGGCAATGGTATAACTAAGTTACATTACAAGTAATTGTAGTCATATCTTTTTAATCACGAGTATATTTATAAGGCTGTGGAAGAGATTGGTTCAAGCCCTGACTCATCCCGATCTTTTGCTGTCTTGTGACTGCTGAGGAAACAAAGTGGTCAGGAAGAATATGTGTTCATATCACAAGTCAGTGGATTGCAGCATTTGGACTTCTTTTCCCCCCAAAGTATCAAAAAGTAACTATTTTAGTTACTTTAGAGCACCAGGAAAGTAAGAAGCTACTTTTAAAAACTGTAACTATAATGGCAACTAGCTACTTCCTTGGACCTCTGAAATTTAATTGTAACTAATTACTTTTAAAGCAACTTTTCAAGGCCTAGGCGTAATGTATGTCCCTGGATTCAGCACAGAGAGCTCCAAAGAATTGGAAAGAATAAGGCTTTTTAGGCTGAAGTGCCTGGAAACAGGTACAAATGACACAGGACAGACCAGGACAGAGTAGAAAACAAGAATTAGACAGGTGAACAGGACGGTGGTGAGAATCATATACTCACAGATGACGGGAATGAATATTTTGTCACTCGTTTCATTGCTGGACAGATAAGACACTTCACACTGATACTCCCCAGTATCATTGCGGAATACCGGCTGGATGGTAAGAACCCGGTTATTGTCCGACAGCTGGATATGGGAGCTACTCCCAAGAGGCTCTCCATCCCATAACCAGCTGACTATTGCAAGTTCAGAGTTGACGGTGTTACAGGTTAGTTCAACATGGTCAATAAGCTCCCTGGGGAAAGGGCTTGGGGAGACAGACACGAAGGGCGTGAACAGTTCCTCTACAGGAGGAAAAGACAAAACGTTATTGTCGGGCAATGTCCGGGTAAAGATCCTACATGCATGAAAGAGGCCGAAAAAGAAGGAGGCAGCTACGGCTACAATCAACAGACCTTTTTGGGACAACAGATTATATCCAGAGCATGATATACATCAAAAGTACACTTCAGAGGACCACAAACCCAGAAATGACACAAGATACAGTCATATTTGAGGCAGGAAGAGCAATCATCAATCTAAATGCAAAAAAAAATTAGAACTACACCATTTATTGCAACTTTCTAAATCTGAAGCTAGAATATCACTTAAATCCTCTGCCGCTCCTTTGCTCCCATCAGTCCTAGGCCATAATCTTATTAGTCATCTGAAATCAATGCATTGCCAACAGAGAGGAAGACAGGACCATTGATTTTGCCCTGCCAGAGTTCGGCAGGAGCATGAAACACAGGGGGAAAATGTCTTGTACACATCTCTTTTCAACCTCCTGCTCATCAATGCAGGAACTCCAGAACCTGTGAACATCTGATGGAGACCTGCACAACCACCGTGTTACGTTGTAGTAAAAAGCAGTTCAGAAATGTAGTTAGCAAACAGAAGACGGTCACTTCCACGAAACAATCTAAGCAATATACCCCACAAAAAAATATTTTGGGCAATTCAAGCATGCACAGTATTTAACAACAGGAACATAAGCGAGGTATCATGTGAGCAAGTGCGACCGATAAAAGTTTTCGAACTAACATGCACCACCTCAAAGCCCCTGCTTTTTAGCAACTCAGTTAACACATTGAGCCATCAGAAATCAGGTATTCAGTAATAAAACCAGAGGGAGGAAATCAAGTCTTCTACAAACACTTGTTCTGTTTTGGTTCACAGTGTACCTTTCCTACCAATGTCTGGAAACTCAAATTAAGATGCTATGAGAAATATGGTGGCTTGGGGGGGGGGCGGAAATCCAGTATTTTTAAAAATTGTTCCCAAGAACCACTTTGGCATTTTTCAGTAGAATACAGGATTTTTTTTTTTTGGAAACATGAAAAACAAGAGATAATCCAGTAAAATATTTTCTCTTTTGGAAAGAGTAAAATACTTTGGAGGAAGGGTTTAACTGAATGGGCCAGGAACAGTGAAGAATGAAGATCTGTACGTCAAACAATATTCAGAGTTAGAGAATATATAGCTTAAACACATCTAACTCTTGAAACTGATGAATAATTCTGCACCTAGTAATTTTTTTGCCACCTCCATGAGAGGAGAACACAGAAGGGCTTCATTGCTTATACACTGCTGCGCGCTTTTGTCTGATCGTGCTTGTTCTAATTTAACACAGTCACAGGAAAAGTGAGATTGTTTCTTTTCAAACAAAACACACCTTATTTTGTTTATTACAAAATTGGTGTTTACTATTTTCATTTTTTCCTCTGCTTCTTTAATGGCAAAACTAAGTTATATGTGCTGAGCTTACTCTTTACTATTTCGTAAATTTCATCAATATAGGAAATACTACGTCTTAATTTTCTAAACGGACATTAAGAATGAAACATTTTATGTTGCTAAAGCAGTAAAATATGCTGAGGTTTCACATGAACATAAATATTGCAGATATTTCAATTCTGGCTAAAATGTCTGTTTCTCCTTCAGGAAAAAAAAAGGCTTTGGAATTTTAGGAAATGTCAAACAATTTGCTCATCACACATTATCTGATCTGTTGATAATAAAGGAATTGAACTGAAAGTTTGTCACACATTGCACAAAATCTCACTCCCAAATATAAATGTATTTGAAATTTCGTGTGCCGCTGAACACTCCTCGTGAAAATGTGGTAGGAAGGCCAAAACAAAAATCAAAGTATCAAAAACACAGCAGGCGAGCGGAGTACAGTAACTTTAAAGAAGTGAATCAGAAGGCTCTATGTTGTAACTCCAAGCATAGAACTCTTTATAGTTGTCTTCAGTTGTCACTCAGCAATACATCCCTGCTAAGCCGAAAAATCAAACAACATCAATATCTTTCCGGAATTTTGCATATACAATGTCTGCCTTGAGGGGAAAATGACCGTCTTGTTGTTAAAATGGGAAATCCAAACTGAAGCCCAGTGTTTGAGTAATTAAGCTCAGGTGCAATCTGCCAGCTTCTGTATTGTATCCAGTGAGAGGAATGGCTGCTAATCATGGCCATGACACTTGCGTAGGAGAAGGCCATGGGTCAGATCCAGCCGTCTCCAGAAGCCTTATTGGTGCCCAGCTAATCACTCCTGCTTCTTGCAAAAGGTTTTGGTGCCCCATAAACAGGCAAAGAGCTTGGGAACGGTTTACAGTATATTTAAAATATACATCTAGAATTCCATGGCTATTAAGGCCATATAGTGAGTTAATGACATAAATGCAAAGAATCCTCAACAAATTAGATTCAACTATGCCAGACACAATCTGTATATTTTTTTCAGCAACAGATATGTGGAGATTAAAACACCCCGAGATGAACGGGCACCAGTAGCAGAATGCTGGCACAGCAACCAGACACCTCAGTCCCACCATCAAATTATTTTACTCCAGAGCAACCAACCTGCAACCACCACCAGACCCTGGTTTTGTCATATAAATGACCATTGAGAACCAGAATCCCCATTTTCACCTGTAAATGAATTCACACAAAATCTACAGAGGAGGGAAAAAAACATTTCCACCTCTTTTTCACCACCCTGATGGGAGAGACTGGCAGGTGGTTGATGCATATTAAGGGGTAACTAATGCATAACAGGTCAGTTTTACACCTCAGTCCCACCATCAAATTATTTTACTACAGAGCAACCGACCTGCAACCACCTCCGGATCCTGGTTTGGGCATACAAATGGCCATTGAGAACCAGAATCCCCATTTCACCTGTAAATGAATTCACACACAATATACGGGGGGGGACATTTCCACCTCTTTTTCACCACCCTGATGGGAGAGACTGGCAGGTGGTTGATGCATATTAAGGGGTAACTAATGCATAACAGGTCAGTTTTACTTCCACTTTGGAGAGATGAAAAAAAAAGGGCAATAGAAAATGTTGGGAGCTAAATGGGAACTATTGATTTATGAGAGACCCACCCAGGTATGTCAAGAAAATTGGGTCTTTTGTGGAACTCATTTAATGGGGGAGGTGGATTTCCTTAGGATGACATTAGGTGTCTGTGAGGAGAAGTGCTCTCTCCCTAAAGAGACTGGTGTGGGCTAAAGAACAAGTTGAACATACCTATGACCGTGATGTTTGCACTCCCAGTTGCAGTAATTCCAGGTCCATCAAAGGACAATCTATAGGTTCCAGAGTAATTTGACTTTAGGTCTGTGATCTGAAGAGAGCAGCTGGAGTCCACCGTCTCCCGCCCAGTGTATGCAGGTCCCTTTGTAACCCCCCCAGGACTTGGGAAAAAGAATAAGGCAATGATAAGGTTTTCATCAGCAGCTGCTCCTCGGTGCCAACGGCAGCCAACAGAATTTTCTGGGACGCTTCCTGGTTTCAACATGACAGTGCCTCCTTCTCTTGGCATTGGTGGGTCAACTGTGACCGGTATAGTTCCAGACTGGCCTTGACTCAACAGGAAGCAGGAACTCAGGATGGAGGCTGCAGGGGAGAGAGAGAGAGAGAAAAGAGAGAGAGAAAGAGAGAAAGTCACTTGAGGCTAAACATCAGTTCCAAGCAACAAACTAACAAATATTACCATCATCTGTACTACCAGAATGGATGTCAGGTACCCTGTGGTTGGCCAGAGAGAGATGCTAGAGAGATCTTGCACATCTCAAGGAAGTGTTTTCAGTATTTATAGCAGAAAAGACTACTCCAGGACTCATATGGTGTCTGACAGCCAGTGTTTTGCATCTGTCTCTTATTACAACTTATGGCAGTTCTATAGCAGGGTTTAATAGGTGCAAGGTACTCAGAAGTCAATCCACATCATCATCATTGGTATTATTGTTATTATTGCCCATTCATTTGACACCAAATCCCATGTATGCCAATTAAAATAGAGCACCCTTCTGCTAGGTGCTGCAGCCAGTACTCAAGGCAACACTTCAAGCAGCCCCAAAGACAGCAACTCATGCTGGGTTGTTGTGCAAAAGTAGGCAAAACAAGTGAATCAACAAGGCGCACAATAATTGTGCATTTGAACTAGAGTCCTGTGCATAACACTGAATGTAGAAGACCCTTCTGCTTGGTGCTGCAGCAAGTTCTCAAAAGGTAAGACTTAATCAATCCAAAACAGGCCAAACCCATGCTGGTTCATTGTGCACAACTGGGCAAAACACGTCCCTGATCCTCTCACAGAGAAACAGGGAGGCTGAAAGCCAGCAGGAGAGGGATTCCAGATGGGCACCTCTGCACACTGTGAACCATTTGTGAGAAGGCCCACAACCCAGGGACGAAGCGCTTAGGTAAATCCATCACATTCAGTTGACTCCTGCTGCTGAGGAGGAACCCATAGTTCCATCACTGGGGGGAACAAGCGTGCCCATCCTTCCTTCCTGTTTTCTTGTCTGTGTAATTGTCCCCTAGGTCTCTGCCCCACCTGGATTGACAAGCTCCCTGCATGTGGGTGACCTCTACAGCTATAATCTCTGCCTCCCAACAAGTGAGGATTCCTCATTGCTCCAGCTTTCACCTGAGGGCCAAGGTGGACATGAGAGAGGAGAGCCACCTGTAGTCAGATCTAATTTGAAATCAGCCTCCAGGAAGGGAAAAGCTGGACGACAGTTTTGGGGAGAGTCTTTTCATTGTACGACTAGTCAAAGAACTATTGATTTTTCCACCAACAAGATCAAGGTGGCAGACATGGCTCTCCTTCCCCTCCTTCTCCCTTTTTTTATTTTCAAAACAACCCAGTGAGGTAGAGCACACCAAGAGGGAGTGGAAGACCTGATGTTGCCCCACGAGTTTTCAGAGGTAGAAGTACGAGATTTGTGCTTTCTCATAGTCCCAAAGCACAAATCTTCCTGGCTCTATGTAGAATACATATGTAGATGTATTTCCATCTTCGTAAGAGACACAGCACAAGTGGTACAGGATGTATGATTCCCCACTGTACCACCAACAAGTAAAGCCAGCCTGGGTAGCCTTGGGCAAGCTGCACAGTCCTAAGACACCCATAGAAGAGGGGAATGGGAAACCACTTCTGAGTATTTTCTACCTGGAAAGTCCTTAAAAGAGTCGCCATAAGTCATAATTGACTTGATGGCATATGTTTTATTCAGGTTGTTCTAATGCAGGGGCAACCTTAACACTCTCAATGTCCCTAACAAAGTAAAAACTTGAGTGTTCTCAAAAGATAACAGAAACCGTTCAAGAGTCTTTACGAAGAAGCCAAACGTATTAAAGTCAAAGTATTGCGTAGCATCTTTAAGAGGAACAAATGTATTTCACGGGGAAGGTTCCTCGACTAGATAGATCCCCTTCTAGGGTAAATGATTACATTCCGAGAGAGCGGACTCAGCTGGGCGGTGACAAGGCACTGCTGAAAAAAACGAAAATATTTGGACAAGTTTTAAGCGGTCCTCTTTCTCTTGGAGACCACAGGGCCACCGGTAGGATTTGGAAGCTGACGCCAAGTAATACAGGGGTTTGCTCGGGAGGAACCGCAAGATTCCGTGGCGAATTCTTGTTTCGCCGACACCAGCCGCGGAGTTTCCAAGGGGCGACCTCCGAAGCCAGTCGGTGGGGCCAGGAGCCGCCCACTTTCACTGCCCCACTTCTGGCAAGCAAGGGAACTTTCACTTTCCGACCGCACCCACTGGGATCGCCCCCACTTCCCCCGAGGTCCCGATCCAGCCCCCCCCCAAACTCACCTGCCAGCAGCGTGGCCTGNNNCGGGCCCCCCCATCTTTGCGCTCCGCTCGGCCGGGCTGTGCGCCACCCGGACGCCTCGGTTCCTCCTCGGTTGCCGCCTGCCTCGGGCGCTCCTCTGCGCCTCCCTGAAGCCGGGGGTGGGGATTTAGCCGGCGGGACCCTGCCCTCGTCCCGGCCCGCCCTCGGAGGCCGGCCTTCCCGGAACGGTCGCTCGATCGTGGGAAAGCAGCGGCCGCCCGGGTGCCTTGCGCCGCCGCGGGGCTCTCGCACCCAGGTTGCGCCGAGGCGGGGCTGCCGCCGGGCGAGAAGAAAAGGAGCCCCGCCGGGAAGGAGGCGAAGGCGGAGCGCGGCCACGCCTTGCCGGAGCGCACGGGAGAAGAGGCTTCCCCTTTCCTTAGGATCCCAAGCCGGAGCCAGCTGTGGGGCGTTAAGGGCGTTACGCGCTCCCCGTAGCAGAACCCATAGCCGCCCCATCTGCAGACAGCTGGATCCGGCCCAATAAACACTCGGGGAGCAGGGCTTTTGTAAAGCTAACGCCTCTGCATTGCGAACCCGCCTCGAACGCTTTGGGTTGTTAACAGGGGCAACGCGGAACAGCAGATACTGTTCTTGGACAACCCCATTTCCGAGGACTGTGGCTAAGGTCCGAAGGAAAGGGGAGGGCGGTGGATGATAGCATACTCTTTGCCGCTCCAAAAGTGCCCTGGCTGCAGTCCTGCGGGGCCTGGCTCCAGAACCCCATTGGGTGAGAAAGAGATGGAAGTGAACGTGAAAAAGGGGCGGTGGGTGGGTGAGATCTGGTCGTGGGAACGAGAGACACAGGATTGGATCCTAGAGGAATGTATAGTACTCTGGGCCACCAGGGAGGTCTGGGTGCTTGAGCGAAACTCAGCTGATCCCTGTTTCCTAAAAGGCAGGCATTCCTGAATCCTGGCACATAATTATTGAAATGTTTTCTGGCCCAGACCCAGGAGAGACGACCAAGACATTTTGATGCCTGAGGCAAGGCACCAACTAGCCTCTCAGCGCCCTCAAAGCCCCATTTGGCAGAATCTCTCAAGTGGCCTTCCCTGCGACCAAAAATACTGCGAAACAACCAAGAGGCTTGAAGTTTTACACACTTAATTTGGGCACAATCCGTTTCCTTCTACAAACGGGTGAAGATCTTTAAGTGAACTGGAGGTTGAGACATGCCAGCGGGACTTTTTTCTTATGAAGTTGAAAAATGTTTCGCTGCTCGTCCAAGTAGCTTCTTCAGTATTTGGACGAGTAGTGAAATTTTTCAGTAGTAGCTTCTTCAGTATTTGGACGAGTAGCGAAATTTTTCAGTCTAATAAGAAAGGAGTCCAGTCGCTATGACTCAACTTCCAGATAACCTCACCTGGATGACTGAGAATCTTCACAGGTATACCTTTAATGATGTACGCCCACCTTGGGCCCTTTTCAAGGACAAAAAGCAGAGTTAAAATATTTTAAATAAATAAGTAAGTTGTTTGGCAAGCATGTTGTTTTGGTGGCAACAAGCGAACACCCCACCTTCATATCTATACCAAAATCTAAAGAAACGATTGCCTTTCATGACCCCTCAAATCAACTGCCCGAGACCAGCATCATCTCACTCTGCCTTAGGATAAGGGCCACCCCTCTTTAGAAGGACTGCAGAGCCTCCAACCTCTGTCTGAAATGGCATCTGGCATTCTTCTGACAGAGCAGCTGTACCAATCTGGTATTCTCCCACTGCCTTGCACTTCAGCCCCCATCATCCTTGGCATCATGCTGCTGGGAGCGATGGGAGTTGTATTCCAAACCATGTAGGAAGCAATAGGTGAAGGAAGACGGGGGGAATGAAAAAAGGGAATTAAGATTTTTGAGCAGCTGGCAGGCTACCAATGAGGAAATGCACTCTGCACATGCTCTGTGGTCCTCTTTTTGTTTCTGCTGTTTTATGAGTTGGTTTGTTTGTGGGTTTTGTGTTTTTTTTTGTTTGTTTACTTTACACTTTCTGTGGCTCACAGTTAGATAGTTCTCCTGAGAACAGGTACTGGATTTAATCCCTGCCAAAGATTAAGATCTGTCCAGATGACATAAAGTAAACAGACTGATCCCAGTTATTGGGTAATACATCCCATTGATGAATTACTTAACCACAGGTTTGAAGCATGCAGGATCTTCCTATGATTTGAAGGCAATCGAAGCTTGCCTTGATATATGTAGGATGATGATGCCACCTTGGGATGGCTCAGGAAATTGCTGCTTTCACAAGGGGACATTTTTACTATGAATTATATCAGAGAGAAAGTTAATTGCAAATGCAGTTAACTCAGTGCATCCAGACTGCTTTTGTTTCTGGCCCCTCTACGGAGACTGAAGAACCGGGTTTGGGGGACGTAATCAGACCAAGAAACCTTGATGGCAGAGATTTTATTTTTATTTTTATTTATTTATTTGATTTCTATACCACCCATCTGGTGACCCAGGCCATTCTGAGCAGTTCACATAGCATAATAGAACATGGTATGAAACAAAACAGTACGATAACAAGACAAAGTATCAATTAATCAGCACAGAATTAAACAGATGAAAATAATATCAGTGAACATTAAGGAAAAGAAAAAAAATATGGAGGGATTGAATTCCGATAGAGTCCGGGAAGGCCTTTCCGAAAAGGAATGTTTTTAATAATTTCTTGAACATTCCCAGCGAGGGTACCAGGTGAATTTCGGGCAGGAGGGCATTCCACAATTGTGGGGCTACTGCCGAGAAGGTCCAGTTTCTAGTCATTGGTTTCCGAGAGATATTTTCCCCACCATGACTGCCACTAAAGGCAGCTTGTGATCTGGGCAAGGAAGTCGTCTGGCGTGATGTAACCCCCATTATCAGTCTATAAACTCTCCATTGCTACCACCATAGTTTCCTTCAAAATTTCTTTTCCATCATGCTTTCTGGGGAGCATCACCCCTTTTTAGGAGAGCTTTTCCACTTGTCTCTTGGTGGATGCAGACAGGAAAGGCGCCGGAAGGGTGAATCCTTGGAATGATCTTAGACATTTGTATCTCAATTTGTGTTTTAGTTCAGGGGTTTGAAGACTGTACAGCCGGAACTGTATTCTTTGTGTTGTGAATCTCCTACCTTGGGTGATAAACACATCTGGAACTTTGCTCTTTCCCTCTTTTGTTTCAAAAAGACAACCCTACACTTCCTTTTTCCTACACACACCTTCTGCTCTAGCCCAGGTGTTGGTGGAAGTAACTTAGGGGTGTACAGTTTTGTAGCATCTAATTTTGTGTTATTCCTATCACTGTTGTTGTTATTTTTTCATTTGAGGAGAAAAATCACATTTTTGAAAAACTCATTGCATTTGCAATACTCATATATAGAACATGGCCCCACTGAACCCAGAAAGTGGGACACGCTCACTGTCTTAAATGCAGAATTTCAGTTGGAGCTCCAGATGACGCTCTCCTCCATGCATACTCCATTAAAGAGGAAAGAGATAAGAGGTAAACCAGGCCAATCCATTGGGAAGCATCCTATACGTCAGTGGTCCCCAACCTTGGGCCTCCAGATGTTCTTGGACTTCAGCTCCCAGAAATCCTGGCCAGCAGAGGTGGTGGTGAAGGATTCTGGGAGTTGTAGTCCAATAACATCTGAAGGCCCAAGGTTGGGGACCATTGCTGTAAGTGTTGACATCCTGATGTTGCTTTCCAAGAACCAGTTTGTCAGCTTTACTGGGGATCATAAGGCCCTCTGGCAGCCATTTGGGAGACAGCAAACTTACCCATCTCCACAAAGCAGTCTTTTCTGTTTCCTGGGACATGTTCTACAGCAGTGCTTCTCAACCATGGGTCCCCAGATGCTACAACGTGGACTACAACTCCCAGAAATCCTGGCCAGCCGCAGTTAGTGGTGAAGGCTTCTGGGAGTTTTAGTCTAAGAACATCTGGGGACCCAAGGTTGGAAACCAGTATTCTACAGTGGTGATAATAATAACAACAAGTGTGTGTCATCAGGGCAATTCTGACTTATGTTGAGCCTTCCTAGGTTATTCAAGGTAGAGAATATTCATGTTTACCACTGCTTTTCTCTGGGGGTGTTTTGGGAAGGTGCAGCTTGCCCAAGGATACACGGACTGACTTCTCTCCCTGTAGGCACAATGAAGAATCGAACTCGCAACCTTTGGTGCTGCAACAAGATACCACTGAGCTATCCAGCTTCTACAGCAATTGCTTTGAGTATTTCCTTGCACACTGTAACTGTTGCTTTTGCATCCGACCGACGCACCTGTGTGCTGATCTCAGGTTGCAAGCATTTTGACTTTGGCAAAAATCCTGTTGCATAGCTATGCTAGTGAGACACAAACTGCAATCTTTGGAAGCAAAGTGCCTCAAGTTAACAAATCAACATAGACCTTATCTATCACATTCTGAGTTGCAGGATACTGTCCAAGGTGATTTGTTAACTTGAGGCAATTTGTCATGTCGTTAGGCTTGCGCAATGCATCTCAACACAATTTTAGTTATCTTTCGCATGGAAGCGGAAAGGTGATGAAATCACCAGAGGCTTTCTGATTGTATCAGATGGTGGGTTCGTAGCGATGTAAACACAAGACATTCTTCCTTAGTTTCAGCAACAGGAAGTTAATGCAGAACAAAGTGTGTCCTTACATGACCAAAAATGGCAAAGAGTCTAGATAAAAACAGACAAAAAGTTATAGTATTAAGACACAATAACTGAAATCCAGGTCTAAGTTTCCACTGGAGAAGGCCCATTGAATCACTGAGGATTTGGTGAGTCAACGCTGCTATAAATTCCACTAATTCACAACGGATTCCAGTTGTGATTTACTACTGGATTTCAGCTACTTAAACAAATTAAAATATTGTGAAGAACAGTTTCTCAGATGCTTTCACTACTGTTGCAAGCAGAGAAGTTGCTTTATAGTGGAACGAACCACAGCTCCATCTGCCTCTGTAACATCTCTGTTCCACGTAGCATCTTGGAGGACAGTTCTCCTGCTCCCAGATTCTTTTAATGAACACATCATCGAATTTCATGGTGGACTTCCTTTACGTTCTTGGCCTTAATATCTCAGACCCGTAGCCTGTGGATTGCTCTG